GGAGCGCTGGGACAGGTCAGGGTTCGAGACCTGGAGGCATGTCGAGATAAAACATGCTGTAATGAACGCATCGGCAAACATATAGCAACAAAGCAACACCCACGTAGGACCTCCCTACTGGAACGGAGTTCCGTGTCTGGCAGTCTGCCCAAGCCCAAATCATTTCTCCCTCAAAGCAACCAGACACCCCACTCACCTCAATGCTATCATCTTGTTGGGGCTGCTCGAACTGCTGTTGCTGCTGCTGCTGCTGATCGAACTGTTGTTGTTGCTGCTGCTGCTGCTGTTGTTGCTGCTGCTGCTGCTCGAACTGCTGCTGCTGTTGCTGCTGTTGCTGCTGGTCAAACTGCTGCTGCTGCTGGTCGAACTGCTGCTGCTGCTGGTCGAACTGCTGCTGCTGTTGCTGCTGTTCCTGGGGCTGCTCCTGCTGGGGCTGCTGTTGGAGCTGCTCAAACTGCTGCTGGGGGTAGCTGGCGGCCACGATGGGGGCGGCGGACAGGGCGGGGTAGTGGTGGTAGGCGGGGTAGGCGGCAACGGCAGGCGCGAGCACCTTGGCGTGGGCGGCGTAGGCCAGGGGGGCAGCGACCACGGGGGCGGCAGCGCTCACGACAGTCTCACCCTTCTGGGTCTTGGACAGAGGCTGGTCGAGCTCAACCAGAGCTGATCCGGCAGGACGGACGACGGTGCGCTCTTCGATGTCGTAGAACTGCTTCTGGATGGCAGGGCGACGGATCTGCGGCCCAAAGGTACGGTCGCACATGACGTATCACAGCGGAACCCCCGTCGTGTTGTAGTGCCGAATGCACACTGCACACGCTCACAAACGCATAATCCAAACGCTACTTTACCTGGAAGCGGCGGGTAGCGACGGCGGGCTTGGCCACGTCGACGACCTTCTGCACGACGCCGGGGGTGGCTTCGATGCGAGTGTAGGGCACGTCGTGGACGGCGGGAACGTGCTGCACCGTGGGCACGGCGGCGTAGCCGACGGAGGCGGTCTTGAGGTGAGCGGCGTAGGCCACTGGGGCTGCGGCGTACGCGGGGGCGGCGGCGTACGCGGGGGCGGCAGCGTAGGCCGGGGCGGCGGCGTAGGCGGGGGCGGCGCCGTAAGCCACGGCTGGGCCAGCGGCCAGGCCCACGGGGGCGGGGCCCTGCACGTAGGTGACACCCGCGGGGTTCAGGAAGGGCATGCGGACCGAGAAGTGGCCCCCGAGCACCGCCTGCAGCTGCAGTGCAGCCAGCACAAGCACGGCCGCCTTCATGGCTGTAAACGGTCAATGTGTTATCAGAACTGTTATTGAGGCAATAGTTTAACAATGCCCGTCGTGACTTTAGTGCACTAAACCTAAATGAGCGCACACGTTTGTAACTACTGTCTTAGGTAACTCTATGATTCATAAATGAATTGGTTGGTAACCCGCCGGTTTTACTGGGCCGTTATGCACTGGCGTGGGCGGGTTGCCCACGCGGGGCTGTGGTTGTAGACGGTAGGCAAACCCACTCGCAGGACTGCATGCCATAAAACCTGGTGGGGTTTTCATCAGTCACTAGATATGATATATTGTTTGGAACACATGGCTCCCAATACGTGCTACATACAAGCTGCCCTAACAAACATTAACTTCAATGACTCGTGAGCATTTAAAACCCGAAACGTGTTGTACGCCCCCGTCACAATGCGGCAAAGCGGACCGAATAATATGAACCGTATCAAACGCGTTAAATCGTCGAGATGCAAATCGACGTAAGATGCATAATTTGCAACAACCTCACACCCCACACATCGCGGCGAATAAAACAGTGAGGCAACATCTGCATATCGGGCTCAGCAAGCGCGACTATATGCACCGCGTTACAGAGCGTGCCGTGCCATCAGTATAGGTCATCTGAGGCTCTGTGCTCGTTCACATTAGGTAAATCTTTGTTTTCTTTTTTTTTCTTTTTGATGATCGATTGCTCGAAGCCATTTTCCACCTCCCAACTACGAATCCTACTTTTCCAAACCCGTTTCAAATAATATATTTGCACCACCCCTCCATATCGTCACCCAACAAAAACACAAAACAACATTTTTTATAAAAGAGTACATTTTTGGATCTACGAATAGTTACTTGTGTCCTAATTTTTTTTACAAAACACATTGAGCTGCGCTTAGTCCATGGCAGCAGTCACACACTTTCTATTTCCGGGCACTTTGACGAGCACTTTATCACAGAGGCACACACACACACACACACGAGTTGGTAATCCACAGGTAAGGCGCTGGGCTGGGACGCACACCTATCTCACCTTCACACTCGCGAATCGGTCGGGTTAATCCAAAAGGAAGGAGCGAGTCAACGCTCCACAGAGATGTCAGTCGAAATGTGGCGGTTCTCTGCCGAACAGTTGTCTTTTATACGAGAGGCCGGACCTCAGCCTCCAGCGGCCCCCTCCAGGACGGCCCGCCCCCTGCACTGCTGGAGCGGGGCGGGGCGTGGCGGCCGCCCTCGGCTGGAGGGGCAGCGGGCGGCAGCAGGACGTCCCAGGTGGCTCCAGACGGGGGCAGGGAGGTGGGGGCGGCCGTCCCCCTGGCGTCCCCCAAAGAGCCTGCCTGCCTCCTGTGCAGCCGACGCCCTCGCCCTCGCCTTAGGGGATCCTTCCTAAACCATACCACCATACTCTACTCGCAGGCATGGCATGGCCATGAGGCCAGCCGATGCACGTCTGGCCTGGAACACCGCGACGTTGCACCTGTAGCAAGTCCCTGCGGCTGGCTGCCAAACTTCTTGTCGTGGAGTAGGCCGATGTGCCGTATATACTTCTCTTCACGGGCGTCCCAAACCTCGCTACAATAATACACTGTGTGACAGACAACCATGTTCCTGTCGCTCGGTCGCGCGTGCGCCGCCCCTCCCCTCCCCCTTCTTGTAGGCGGCCCCGGTTCAGCAGGGTACCTCGCCGCCCGCTGAACTTGAGCGGTCCAGATCCGGTAGCGATACCATTCATCGAGAGTGCAGGCGGCGGGCGGCCGCACAGCAGGACCTGTTTTAGGCTGTTTTCATTTTAAAACGCCCATAAGTAGATCAACCGGCAAATATGTATCACGGCTTTTAGAAGGGTGGACACAACTTTTGTTGTGCTCTTTTACCTCATGACTGCAGAACGTAGGTCGTTTTTTTCTGCACATTTTCTTTCTCGCTGCAGCAAGGCCCTTCTTCCTCAAGGGCCCCCACCCGGAGTGGCCCTTCCTCCTGTCGACCTTGAGACCTTGCCTCGTTTCCCGGTGAGGACAGCGTTCCAACCACATGCAAAAAAGATAATTCGAAAGAATACCATTGGTATTGGTAATTGTTTTTTATTTAGATGGATTGGATTCACAAGATTAGCCCGACTAATTCCTTTTGGCATCTGTGCTGTTTTAAAAGTTATCTACAGCTTCGCAGTGTGCTTTGCAAAACGCGTTATTACACTGCAGGTACTTTTTTCCGCTCTCACTTTTATCGAGCGAGGGGCACAACTTGTTCGGGCCAGCAGAAGCGTGCACGACGCTCGTGGATCACTATTGAGGATTCAGCTGTGGGGTGTTTAAGTGACCAACAACTGTTGTTTTTTTGCGGGGGGGGGGGATGTCTGTCACTACACGGGTGTGAAGGATAGTACTTCCGTTTCGGATTGAATATTACGGGTTTGCCTACTCCCTGTGCCTATTAAGGCCATGACTCCTGGGAAAGGAAATTCCCATTTATTGATGTGTAGGGCGTTGTATGGCTTTTTGATTTCAATACCTGAGCAATACCGCGTAATACTCTTCTCATCTAATACTGTGTACACGAGAATCCCGAATGAAATCCCCTTGCCACTCACTCCTGCCTGCGGCGTGCGGCGTCGAGGAGCTCGTCGTCGTGAATCCCGCGAACGCGTCAATATTATTCCACCGAGCCGAGGAGTGAGGGCTGTTCCTCCCCACAGACTTTGGCAAGCCGAAGAAGGCATGGATCAAGGACCGCGGGTGCCTGGCCGCCCAACGGAGGCGATCGGAGGACTGCGACACAGAACGCGCTCTCAGTCTCTTCCATTTTTTCAGGCGGTGCACTCTTGTCTGTTGTCTTCCGCGTCGGAGCAGAAGACTGTTTGCCCCGTGCTCACAGTTAAGGAGCACAAGGGATGGAGCTGAAGAGCAGGGGCGGGGGGTAGGAGGGCACCCGTCCAGTCCAGCCGATGGGGTGGCGTCCTCGAAACAAACTTCAAAATGATGTATTAAACAGGAAGGACCTTGGTCGAATGCCGAATGTTTCTCACATTGGACAGAAACCACCTTCTACTAGTAAGGTTCTCTTTGTTCTCTCGCTCAGATGAAACTGGTTTCTCTACATCCGCACAAACGCAAGACGGACGGACACAGAGAGGGCTGAGACTGTAGGGGAAACAAAGATGAAAACTATCCTAGTCACAAACTTGGCCATCCTGGCCATCTCACGGCTCGCCGGGTGGAGCGGCCGGTACTCGGCGGGGGCCGCACCGTTAGTGCGAGTTGAACTCGGCGTAATCACAGCCTGATAATGGCTGTCCCTGCCCCCACCTACCCCCGCGGGCGCGGCGCGGCGCGGGGCGGTGGTGGCGCTGGCAGCTGGCGTTGGGATAGCAGGTGGTTGGTGGGCCCGGACCGGCCGGCCTGTGGGAGTGTTGACTTTACGCGGCGCGGCGGGGCGGGCGGAGCGCTGCCCTCAGACCCCTGGCGGCGCAAGGTCGTCTGCTTTGGGTAATTAGACCACACGAGGGAAGAATGTTATTGTTCTGCTTTAGCTACTTGAACGGCAGAAAAAGGCATGCTTGCCGGGTGGAAGTGGGAGGCCGGACATTCGGAACGGCGCCGCGGCCGCCTGCCCAACTTAATCGATGTGGTATTGTTTGGTTCATTTATTCGTTTTGTAGATCCAATGATATGACCTCCCCACCCGTGCCCGTGCCCTACTGTCCCTCACCTTGTGCAATACCGTCTACTTATATAAGGTCATGGACAATTTTAGGAGTCGAAAGGTGCGAGAGAGCGTCTAATCGGTTGGGTGAAGTTCTTTCATATTATTTTCTGTTTTCCAAAAAAAGCGATTTGTGAATTTTGTTTCACATCAGACCGTTCTGCTTAATGGGAAACTGGAGCTCTGCTCGTGAGATTAGCAATCGCGATGCCGAGTGTGATGTGAGAAAGGTCGCCTGCTGCCTTTGCACCCGCCCACGACTATGCGAGCGTGCGTGTGTATGCGTGTGTGTGAGTGTGTGAGTGTGTGTGCGAGCCCGCGCCTGTGTGTGTGTTAACGTTGTGTATGTGGATATTGGTTCCTAACGCATGGCGGCTGCGGAATCCGGATCCTATGGAACTTGGTTTTGTTTGATCAGGGGCAAGGCCGTGCGGCGTGGCACAGCGTGGTGCGACTCCCCGCTCCCTCCCGCGTCTCCCTCCCTCGCCCCCCTCAGTCCGAGGACGGCGGGGCCCTAAAGACTAAAAGGTTTTGTGGTTTGTTCCGCTCAGCCAAAACCGATAAGTCGCCCAGGAACCTATCTCCCCGCCACCGCAGAGCAGAGCTCAGCTCGCAGCTGGAGTCCTGGACGAATGGCAGCCCATCTCGCGCCTCGTCTCGGCCCACGCACCGCGTCGGGGGTTATCACACGTGTCATGCATGCGGCTGTGCGGCTGTTCATCAAGTGGCGTCCACCGCGCCGTTTTCTGTGGCAAGGTTATAAAAAGGATAGAGAAGGGCCTCGAAGAGTATACTGAGATTGATCTCGTTCTTCGAATCACGTCACTGTGGCAAACAAAGACACACGCCCCCAAAAAGTAACAAGAGCAGAAGAATAATTATCTACGAAGAACGCAAGGAAAAATTTTAGATAGTTCAAAAAATGATATTTGGAAATCATCGTTTGGAAGAAATCTCTGAAGGAATGTCGACATGCTGCGCGGGGGCGGGGTGCGGGTCTAAAGGAAATCGTTCGAACTGGTTAAAACGCTCGTCGGTGTATTGTGATTGTTGCAGGCGGGCTGTAAATGGGTGGGTGGAGGGGGGGGGGGTGAATTGCCCAATTGCTGGCTTGCGTGAGCCGCCTGGAAGGTAGGCAACTCATGCAACAGCCCCTGTATGCAGGCAACCTACGGTGCATCGTCCCCTCAATAAGCACGACGGGTGCGCTAAGGTGTAAAAGAGCAGCATTACACCTTATGGTGCGCTGCGTCGCGACGCCTCCGCCGTGAGTGAGTCAGCCAAGTTGTCGGCTAGGGCGGCGGAGACCCGGGTGGGAGCAGCAGAGGAAGGCCCTTGTGGGGGCCGCACAACATAACTCACGGGGACAAGGCGGCTGAGCGACGGGAGCGTCGAGAGAGACGTCTGCCTCAGCGAGCCGGCCGGCCCGCGGTCCGCCGCCGGGGCGGTAAGTGGCACTGACCAGGCCAGTGGTCCGCTCCCGAGTCGGCTCCCGCTCTCCCGCTGATCCCACTTTTTGGGAGCCCAGAGTTATTAGTCCCGTCGAGTTCATAAATAACTCTGGACATCACATCAGGTCTGGTAATTGCGCGCGCTCCGCCGATGCCGACGATTTAAGCCGCCCAGTCCGGTCGCCTACCAATAAGTTATTTATTAGAAGAGGGAATCTTTGAGGAGTTGAAAGTAGGCTGACTGCGCTCGTTGAATTCTCACGTTGAGCTCGTATCAGTTACTTTTGTAAATCTCAATAATGTAAAAAAAAAACACAAAAAAAACACTTTCAAACTAGCTTGGTAGGTATCTTAATGACCCTCTTGAGAGTCATTTCAGGGTCACTCTTCGAGACAAGTGTGGCGACTGACTTATGTTTCGATGTGTTGGATATTTCAAAACGTCATTTTCGATTAGGATCCAATTAGAATGCAGGCATTCGCATTGGAGAAATGAGGACAACATTGTTTTGTATTCGGGGGAGCGAGTATTACAATCAGTACCGTCAATCCCACTTTCATCAGAGTCTACAACTTGAATAGCAGTGTGAAGTCAATAATAAAACTTTCAGTTGTGTTAGAGAGATTTTAAGAACACCTAGCAAACAAAATTTGGGAGATTGTCATTAAGTAAGCCCATCATGTAGCACGGTGATTTCCGGCGTTAAGAGGTCGCCCGGAGGTTGGTGCTGCGATGACTGGGCGTCATAATCTAAGCACGCCCTAGAGCGTGAACAGTTCTCTTTCTTGTTAGGGATCGTCTTGAAAGTATGTCCTTTTCTTAGATTCATTTGATCATTAGGTAAAGTACCAGAGCTCGGCGCCTGCGAGACTCAGGGTAGGCCATTCCGCAATACACTCGTGCACTGTAGACACGATTCTGCCTACCTATCAGGCGCTATGAGACCTTGCATTGGATGAACTGGATGTACGGCAGATGACGATAACTGGCATGTTTTATAGATGACACCACCGTAAGATAAAGAATGAG